TTCCTCGTGGCGTACGACGGCGAAGATCCGCTGCCGTTGCTGTCGCTGTATACAGAGACGGTGTCAGCTCAGTGGACTGGAGACGGAGACCAAGTAGCTGTTCAGTATCTGCGCATGGCTCCGAGTTCTCCTGGTCGACATCGACGTATTTGCTCGGATGAATGCAGCTACCAAGTCACGGGACTGCAGACTGGTCGAGCCTTCAGCTTCCGTGTTCGAGCGCAGTATTCGTACGCTCGCTAAAGCCCTTCTTTTCGCTGTTTTTCTCCTACTTTGTGTGCTTGTCATGCTTCCCCGGTATCATCTCGGCCATCCCATCAGTAACGCTGGGCCTGGGCGACTGGTTCCCCATTGTGCTGGTTGGATGCTACAATCTCGGCGACCTGGTAGGGAAGAACCTGCCCATGTACGCGATGCACTTTGACGTGTCGACACTTCACCTGCCATGGCCGTTCCAGCTCTCGTTCCTCCCGCTGTTCATGGCGGCGCTTGTTCACCCCTTCGAAGACATAACTATCATCGTTGCGGTGCTCTTGCTGGGCTTAACTACGGGATACGTGGCCACATCAAGTATTATCATTGCGCCGAGTATTTGCTCCGAGTACCAAAAAGAAGTCGCCGGAATGGTGGGTGGACTAAGCTCTATCATCGGACTCTGCGCAGGGTCCTATAATGGCTTGGCAATGGAAGCTATCGTCCAGTTCTGGACAGGAGACATCCCACAGGAGCAGCCAATGCTCTAGACCCCTGAAGCTGAAGGTCAACAACCACTTCAATAGATATACCTTACCATTCATTAACATAACGTGTCGATGATGGCATTCTCCCTTGAACGATAACGTGACATGCTGTGTTATTACCACATTGGATACGTGCTACGGTTTTCGTGGTCGTTGCTAGCAATAGTGCTTGAGAACCCGATCGGTTGGTGTTCAATAACGCTGAAAATAGAGCGATGGGGTTTTTTAAAAAATTCCCCGTCCAGAGCCTCCAAAAAGTGAGAACCTCCCACAGTTTTCCACCCATTGGCCAAACCCGCCTTCTGGGGTTGGAAAAATTGGAAGTGGTCAACAATTTTCCCCCGAAAGTATCCTCCCGCCCCGCAAAAAATCGAATGGTTAAAGCCACAATTGGGTAAATTGCAAAAAGCCCCCCGAAAAACACCAAAGAAAGTGGTTCCATTTGCAGAATGGCCAACGCTCCTGGCTTGACAAATCTTACGAAAGACCACCCATCGTGTCGGAGTGGGAATCCAGTTGTGTTCAACAAGTACGATATTAACGGCGACGGTCGCCTCTCGTGGAAGGAATACCTGCAGACTCGTGCTTACTACCGCATGCTACTTGAAGAGAGCACGCAGATGGAGCTACAGCGCATTTTCTCAATCCTTGACACCGATGCTGATGGTATTCTGCTTGCACATGACGTTCTGCACCGTATTGAACAGACTGGAATACATGGTGTCGGTATGCTCAAGCAAATCATCACACAGGCAGTCGAAGCTACTAAAGTTGACGTAAAAAGTAGACAATACTACTACCACCGCGAAGGCGAAATCACCTTTGAGCATTTCTTGGCAACGATCCACGACGTGAATCGAAAGATGGAGCAAGGGATCGCTACAAAGACTCTTTGCGTGATCGATCTGCAACGGGAACAGCAGGAGCAACAGATCCAGCGACTACGTCAACCTTCATCCGTCCCTGACCAAAAAATGGAGGCGCTTCGAATTGAGATCGAGGTGCTCACACACGAGATCCGACGTATGAAGAAGGAACTCATCACCGATAACAAAAATGCACTTGGTGAGGCATGCGAGAAGCTCATGGCCACGTATGAAAACGAGCAGCACGTGTACGAGTGTCTTAATAACTTCATAGCGCATTGTAACCTTCGCGACGCCACCCTCTTTCGCTACAATCTGGAACGAGAAGGAAAGAGGGTCAACATTTTGAACTCAATGCTCCTCGCACCACCGGAAAACCTCAAGGTAAGGAAATATGCCTCCTGTACGCATCTTGTGACTTGCTTTTCGTACCAATACTCCTCGTATTTCTCCACAGACAACTGCTGAATTTCGGAAAATGATGGATTTATCACTCGACCACGAGTTCTCTAAAACTCTCCGCAGCACATCCAATTGCCATTGCAATGCCAGTAACCTGTCGTCATTTAACATCATAAAGCGCGCTCACCCGTCCCCAGTGCCCGAAATATCGGAGGGGATACTTGAAACTTTGCTGATGAACCCAATGCTTCGGAAGCAATTCGCGTACTATGCGATGAACGGGAACGTCACGAATCTCGTCTGGGTGACGCGGACCAATTTCATCAACTTCGTTAAGGATTGCAAGTTGGATTTGCTTCCGACGCCAGCTCTAAAGGACGTAGACATCGCCAATATTTTCGCTGCGGTTACCGGTACAGGAAAAGCCATGGATTTCGCGCAATTTCTATCCGCTTGCATCCTCATTTTCAGGCGTTCTCAGCAGTTGCAAGTAAATGTGCGATTGGGGAGATGCTTGATTGGTCACCATGCTTGAAGCTAACGCTTGTTTTGGCTTCCAGGGACCCCTGACAGACGCTGATGTACAAAATCTCGTAGAAGTTCACATTCTTCCACGGGCGAAGACCATTCGAGTGCAGCAGCTAGCCCCAGATATCTCACAAACTCACGTCATAAAGCTTCTCAAGGAGCATATTTGGCAGTTCAAGCAAATATTCTCGCATTTTGGAATCCAAAGCCTCGCCGAGGTCCGAATTGCTGCTGGCAATTACTTTCTAACTCGTTCACTGAGTGTTTTTTGTGAGTTTTGCTGCAGGTAGACAGCAAAGTTCGCCTTGACATGAAGGAGTTCCTTGCGTTTGCAAGGGCATTCAGTGAGTAAGCCAGCTATTGTCCGCCATGGTCCATATCTACTGACGTATCATATTTTCGACAGATATTATCCGTTCTCCACCTGACCGCGATGGTGACCCGTATTCCTCAGGAGAAATGTCTAAAAGCGCCTGCATTGCCCCACTGAGCCTTGTTGATCTCGTCCGGGAGTACTACGCCGCTAAGCTGGACATCAGTATCACCGATTCAGCCCGCCGGGAAGCGGCAGATCTGAGTTTTCGAGAGTTTCTTCGGTGTGTACAGCGTATTGCATTGGCCATGCATGTCCGCAGCGCAAGTAAGCACGGTGCTGCTCGGGCAAACGGTGTGCTAACCACGTTGTTTAAAGCAACAAAAGATGATGGCGCTCGATCACCCGGAATGGCATGCACTCCACGATACCAGCGGCGTGGTAACTTGCTGGCAGTGACATCACCCACAAAAAACTGCAAGATCACGACTACATCGGTGATCTCGAGACTTCTCCAAACATCAAGAGCTCTCGTGATGTACCAGCTTCATAATCAACTACCACAGGTGGAGACCGAGGAAGGTCCATGCCACGAGAAACGTCCAATGACCGGAGTATGGGCTCCAATCGAACCAAAAGCTACAGCTCCGCTTAATCCAAGTCGGCCATCTAGCTGTCACAAAGCCCGCCGCCGACCAGTAACATCTGGAGGACCCCCACGGATCCGAGTCATTCAGCGACCAGCCACGTAGTGCGTCCGGAATGAACCCGAGGTGGCCATTTCGCATCATTCTGCAGTAAATCCAAAAGCGACTCGCAGCATTCTGCGGGATTTTGGCGGAATCAGATCGTCTGGAAATGGTACGGTAGCGCAGCTAGCAAGAGTTGAGAGGGATAGTGGGGTTGAGCACTGGAGTGCTGCTGGGTCCCACACTTTCAAGAAAAGTAATAAACTCCCCAGCATCTGCGTCACCTGCAGCGGTGAACGGATCTGCCCAGGTAAGGTAACTATTGTACACATAGTAGAATTAGATCGGTACTACACGTAGCATATTTGTTCTGTACTCAACGCGTACCTGAGCGAACCAAGGAGTCAAAAAATGCAACTCCTGGAAGAACCGATGCATCGCAAGAGGCTAAACCCATATTTCTCCAAGCGATCTCGATTGCTCGCTCTGTCTGACCAACGCACACATTAAATGGGGTAAGCTAAAACCACGAAACGTAAAGCGAATTTATCGTCAGTGCGCTTACCTGTCCAAGATCCAAAAGCGTGCGGACTAAAGGACAAATCTCCCTCAAGCGAAAGTACATATCCAAGCCCACTTGCATCAAAGCTGGATAGGTTTCTCCGTTCCGGACCATTAAGTCGGCAAGCTCTACGGAATCAGCGAGCACATGGTAATGCAAGAACTGGTAGAGTTTGTTCGGCTCTCCTGTAGCTATAAAACACTTTGCAAGCGCAACATATCTGATAACATACCTGTTAGACAAGTTCACGCAGTGTTGAACGTTCTGATCTTTCCGATACTCACGTATTATTTTCCACTGGCACCTTGTTTTCGCGCAAATTCTTGATATACTCGACAATATAAACGCTCA